TATGGATTTGTCCGCAACGGTGTCTCAAACCCGTGTTTGGATAATCTGAACCGCGAAGTGAATAAGACACACAACTTGGGACTGTATGTGTGCGCACCGGACAGACCGGCCGATGTCTGGACGAACCCCAAACTCATTGAATCACATGTGAAACGCTTCTTGGACGCCATCATCGAGAGTGTGTCGACCAGTGTTACGGTCGATGGCCAGAGGTTTACGGCCGCCTTCACACTAATGCACCGTTTGGTGGCCTGTATTGGGCGCCGGTATTTGCCGACAGAAGTCCTGTGGTTATCAAAACTGGTCGAGTGGTGCGAACGCCAGCGGCCCGAAGACACCAAGTCGTGGCCGACGCGAGCGATGCTACTGTTGTGGCTCTCGATAGCCGTCAAAACGCCATTCAATCTGAAGAAGTTTGACTCAAAAGCAGACACAACGACCGCTCAGAAGACATTAGTGGAGCCGATCTATGCGCTGATCGATCGGTATTTGAAAGCGACCGATAAGAGCAGGGATTCGGCCGCCGTATTGGCCGCACATTTCTTCGCCCGACCCGATATTGTGGACCAATTATTGGATCGTTTTATGAGCGAATCGTTGCCCCAATTGAGCACTAGTTTTGGTCACGTGATGGCTGTGGAAGTGCTGTTGAAAGTGGCCGATCGCCAGAACATCAGTCCGTTCGCCGAACGGGTGATCGAAGTGAGCGCCCGAATGGACACAACGGGTCGCGAACTGATGACCAAATGGAAAGTCAAACTCATCGGCCGATCGGCGCTGTCTTTGATGAGACCCCGAATCGCCAAGTGGCGGTACAGACGCGGCAGACGTCAGTTGTCTCAGAATATATCGCTTCAGATGGCGGACCAAAAGCCGGCCGCCATTCAGTCAACGCATGAAAATGTATTCTCAATCAATTTGTTGTTTTGTTTACAATATTTTTATAGAATTTTTTCTTTGACACTAAACAGACTGTTGAAGATCTGGAGGACGACTGCGATTACAGTGATATACCGGAACAGTTGGAAGTGATAATTGACTCCTTGTTGAATGCCTTACACCACGAGAACATAATAGTCCGCTGGTCTTCGGCTAAGTATTTGGCGCGACTCACGAACCGATTGCCCAAAGAAATGGCCGCCGAAGTGGTCGACAGTGTTCTACAGCTGTGCGAATGGAAAGACTCGGACTCTTCATCGCACGGCTGTTGCCTCGCGTTAGCCGAACTCACCCGCAGAGGCCTTATACTGACGGATCAATCGCCACAAGTGGTAGACGTTGTGCAGAAAGCGTTGCTTTTTGACGAATTGAAAGGTATTTTTTGAAATAATAGCGAAAGTGTTGTCACTTTTTAATGACAATTATCTGAATCTTAGACACATTTTCCATCGGATCCAACGTGAGAGACGCGGCGTGTTATGTGTGTTGGTCTCTCTCGCGTGCGTACGACTCGCTAGTGATTCAACAGTTTGTACACCGATTGGCGCCGACTCTGGTATGTGTCGTGTGTTTTGACCGTCAAGTGAACTACCGAAGAGCCGCCTTCGCAGCCATTCAAGAGTTTGTCGGCCGAACGCAAGTGTTTCCACACGGACTGGAAGTGTTGCTGTTGACTGACTTTCACGCGTTGGCCACAAGAAGTCACTGTTATTTAGACATAGCCTTCAAATTGGCACAAAAGCCAGAGTTCGGCGATTGTCTGATCCAACATCTGGTAGACAAATGCCAGCACTTGGACAGAGAAGTGCGCGAATTAGTGTCGCAATCGCTGGGATTGCTGTCCACTGTCATCGATATGAACCCCTATTTACCACAATTACTCGCAAAGAGCTTAGCAATGGATCTGAACTCAAGACACGGCTCTATACTAGCGATCGGTCACATCATTGGCAGTGTTGGCGACAAAATTAGTCCAGGATTGAGGGAACAAATGGAATCAATTGCTGTGACTTTGAATGAGAAGAAACTCTTGCGAGGAATCGGCGGAGGGTTTATGAAACAGGCGTTGAATGTATTGATAGAGAAGTGTTCATCGGTTTCGCTGTCAATCAGTAGCGAATCCAACATGACTGACGTCTGGATTGATATCATTTGTGATGCGATTGTCAGCGAAGACCGGAAGAATCGCGGCGACGCTGTGGTAGCGCTTCCAGTGTTTTGCTATCGATATCTACGCCATCGACACGAACTCAAGACTAAAGTATTGGATCAGCTGTTGATTCACTTGAAGTCAAGCAATGAGAGCGCCAGGACTTGAGAGCCGATGTCGGCGGTAACGTCCGGTTGGCCGCCATCGCCGGCTCCCTATCGTTCATCAATGAGGCCACTGATGGCCAAGTGATCGATATCTTAAAACTGATGACAACTCAATGGGTAAGCGTTTGGCAAAAAGAGAGACACAAAGCCTTCGATGTGTTTAAAGGGATAGTCTTCGGCCAACAATTGGCTCAAGTCGACAGACAATTAATGGAAACTCTATTTGAAAGCACCGATGACGAGAAGGCTGACCACTGGCGGCCATTCGTACGACTATTAGACGTCCAGTTGTTTACGCATAACGCGTGGAAGGGTTTAGCGAAGAGTGTCTCGAATCCGACCAAAACTTATGTCCGAAATCTACTCAAATCAATGGACGGCCGGATATTCAACACTTTCCTGGATCTGTACGAAAAGGCCGACCAGAGCGCCGACAACCTGTCTCTCCATTGCATCCATTGTTCGCACTTTCTGTTGACTTCGTGTCGAACTGATCCGAACTTCAAGCATCGGGTGTTGGCCCAGACGTGGACAGCGGACGGCCGAACGCGTGACTGTCAGCAACTGATCGGCGCCGTCGACGTGTTCCGCGCCGGCGTTTAGACCGATGATTATCGCCAATCGATGTCCTATTTGGTGATACTTCTGTGTCACGCGTTCCCCCGCATGCGTTCTCGTACGGCTAATCAGACCTACGTTTCCTTATTGACCGCCGATGACTCTCTCGAAGAGGCGTTGGATTTGTTGACACAAACTGATTGGCCTCTAAGTTTGGGTGTCTTGAGATATACAGTACAGCAACCCTGATGTGTAACACTGATTGATTGATTGTCTTATTTTGCTCGGATTCTTAGGGACAACTTAAAGCCTAAATTCATCTGCAAAATCGCTCGTCAGGTCAACTCATCGAACAAAACGTCGACCGACAAGAAAGAGTTGATCCACTCTGGTCTATAATGATCTAGTCTATAATGATATCGAGCGCTAAGTTCAACGTCTTGGTGGAGGCGGTGTTGACGCTACCGAACCTGATATATCTTGTGTCATAAAATCAACACAATCATGGGATCCAACAGAACTATATAGCACTGCTCAACGCCTTGTTCTCGAAGTCGGATCTATCGAAACGCAAAGCAATGGCCGTCACTCGGTCCGACAAACACATCCGTAACGTCATTCTGATCACTGTATTGAACCCGAGGGTCTCTGTAAGCAACAAATCCAGCCGTCAGACCTATAACGTCGGGTCAGAGACGGCCTACCAGATGTGTTGCAGACCGCGTGCCAGGTCTGCCAATAGTGCACACAGATGTCGGTCAAGTTGGCCACCACTCCATTGGGGTACAAGTGTTGTCAAATGGCGGTCACGTGATAGCGTTGAGCGACAGTCAAAAACTTCAAGTTCCGACGGACGGCGAGTGAGCCGCAGACGGAAGCCGTTGCGTCCGGCTTCACGCTTGCCAGAGTAGTGAATGTGGTGTTGAGATAAGTGTTAACTTGAAATGAAACTTTTATCGCAATATAACGTCGATATAAAAGTTAATAAAATACATGATAAAAATAGTATTTTGTGAAACATTTTTGTTATTTTTTTTTTATAAAAGTAAATAAATGCTTAAATAATACCCCAAAATATAATTTATAAAATTTTTATAATTTATATAATTAACATGTCCCGTTTAATTCTAAATAAATTAGAATTTGGACTACTATGCCTAAGTATCCAACCATTTATCGATCTGTTCGTCGATTACATCGTGTCGAGTGAATGCCATAAACTTGTGTTCAATGAGCTCCCGCCGCTCATCACCGGTCAGATAACCCGAGTTGGCCCGGCAGCCGGTTAAATTATGTATGATTTTATCGCCTGATTTCCAGAGCATTGCATTGTGCCACCCATTTACATTTTTTGAAACATTTCCTGCGGGCGTACAGCCTATTCCAGAGGTGGCCTTTCGGTACGTCGAGTTAACCGATGAAAATATTGACGATGTTATCATGGATACAGCTGAAATGGTGCATTTACTCGAAAAGCAATTCAAAGACCATGGTGGACCATTGGCTGTATGCGCGGATTCTGACCGTGAAAAGACTTTCTGTATTGTCTATTGTTATGAAAGTTTTGGGTGTGTCGTATGACAGGGCTAGAAGACGGGTATCTCGTGAGGCCCTTGTATTGGACTACAGAGAACAACTGAAGTTATTCAAAGGCATGTCTTATTTCACAAATGCAAACATTCCCGAATTCAGACAACACATTTTAACTGAATACGTCAAACAAAGACCCGAGATCAAGTTTACGGAATATTTATCTGTCATGGACAAAATCTCCGGATTCACGCCTTTTACGATAAAAGGACGACCATATTCTTGTAAAACATGTAACGGACTACTGTTTCATGATGTCAACATTATAAAGATGATCAAAAATACGACCACCATTGATTGTAAAGTGCGATATTTGGAACCAATGGAGTGGATGAGAGAGCAGCTGATCAATGTCTCGATTGCCGACCAAGAATACCGACTACACTGCTTATATTGTAAAGCGACGATTGGGAGCATAAACTTTAACTGTTCAACCAAGCCGATTTGCTGTCTAAACAGTTATGATCACGCATGCTTACTGATCAAATTAGAGATGAGAAATTTAATCAAAGGAACAGAAAACTGATTTATTTAAACTTGAACTCAAAGTTGTGGAGATGTGTTGCACTATTTGTATACTGATTTTACTGATTGTTTTCTATGGATTGTTATATCACGGTGGATTTTGGGATATTTTAGTGTTAATTATTAATCTCGCTGATCGCATGGCGCATAATGTCACGTCAGTATCAATTTAACTATATTATAATTATTACTATATTCGTATAATTGTGTTAATTTAATGTTTATTTGAATAATAATTAATTATTCACTATATGTAAAACTATCTATATTTGATAATAATTAAAGATGTTATTATAAAACAAATAATTGTATTAAATGTGATTAAATTGTAAATTTGTAAACATAAACTTATAAATTAAATTATAAACTAAATTCTAATTAAGGATTTATTTAATTATTGTTAATTTGATAATGAATAATAGTATGCTTTGTATCAACATCTCATTAGATATAACATATGATAATTATTTCATAAATTATATAACTTATTTTTATTCAACACAAGTCTAGACTATTGTCAATAATAAAAGCAATAACTTGTATAAATAAGTAGCATCATATAACATAGATTTTAAAACAAATTAAAACAAATAAAAATACATAAAATCAAATGAAAAAGAAACAAATAAATAAAACCACATTAACATTGAATTCAATAAACTTTAACCATTTGTATATAATAATAAACAAACAAAAATATTTCTATAAATTCATAAACCAAACTAATTATTGCTTTAGTCATTATTTATTCAGCATAGAAATGAAGTTAATTATTCTATTAGTAAATTTAATCATATTTCCAATGGTGTCAACTATTTTAGTTGATTATGTAAAGTTTATGGACGACACTACTAACAACGAGTTAGTAAATGTTATTGACGTGAATCACCTTAAGATTCGCAGGCCTGACTGTTTGGAAATTGAGATTCTTGTGAATGACGTGACCGAGTACTCGACTTATGATATACCATTAGCGGAACGATTTCAATGTGGCCAAGTTGTTAATAGTTGGAACCAAGAGCCAATTAACAAAACACGAATGACTAGATGGACTGTGGTCAAAACAGAGTTTATTAAAACAAATAAAAATGTATTCAACAGCATTGGCCGAGCAGTTTTACAACGACATAAATTGTATCAAGTAACTAAGGGAAATTATAGCTCTGATATGAGAAACGTCTTCGGAGACGACTGCCAAAACGTACCGGTAATGGAAGACGATATATTGCGACATACAATGCGATTTATAAGTAGTAGTGAGTTGTTTAGATGCTAAACGAACGACTATTTCTTAGACAAACTTAGAGAAATTGAAGAAAAGAATACCACTTTGAGTTCAAACGACATATTATTTCTATATCAAAGTGTTGGCATATATAAAGTAACCACCCGTGACCACATCGATAGAGATTATTCTCAAATACCGTATCAAACAGATATGTTTTCAAACGTAATCACACACACGACAATACATGCCAATCTATCACAAGCAAAAGTCGCTACTACTCAGATGCCAAAAACACCGACACAATTAACCCTTTCAATGGTTAACGAAATTAATCCAATTGCCCAGCACCATAAGTTCAAACGCAGCCAAGGATCATTTTCGTTTAAACTCTTTAATCAACAAATAGCTTTCGATCCAAACGCTGGTGACATTGAACAGCCAAGTATTCCGATCTTAACTACAACTCAACCACCTAATAGTATAGGAAAGCTTGCAGTCAACATAAGTATCTCTGATTTATTTGGAGACAATAGACCTTATAATAGAGAATTTGTGGCCAATTACAATACTAGCGCGGAGGTCATTGAGGACGAAATCCCGGACCAACAAGACGAACTGAATTCGCTAAATGATACGTCAAAGTTTGAAGATATCAGTTATGTCACGAAAGCCGCTCTTCATGAAGTGCAATTCAACAAACTTGGTTATTTACATTCGTTCACCGATGAGTTCATACACTTCTTTAGAATAGAATTTCCGTTTAAAAATTTTAAGTTATCTACAGCTCGACACTCGGGTACTTGTAACCAATTTGTTGGCCAAATATCGTTTACCAGTTCTTCCAATGTGACAAGCGTTGACAGACTTAAACAAGTTTTGAATAATACTTGTACAGACTTCGAAGCCAAAATGAAATCGTTTTACGATCAAGTGGATTTCACGGCAAGTCAAGCACTTCGAGAGTTTAGAGGTCGACAACTGACCCGAACGAAAAGAGAGCCGGTCTTGATCGGATTAGCCCTGGGTGCGGCTGGCCTTTGGCTTGTGACTGAAATACTGAATAGTAAACATGACAGAAAGGAACTTTTTGACAAGGTGAGCCAGTTGGAATCGGACACCAAGAATCTGGCGGTCACTATAAAAGTGATATCCGAAAACTTTTTAGCTTTCTCAAAGGAAGTTTCATCGGCACTGGAAGGTTTTGACCGAAAGATAGAGTTACTGAAGAAATTTCAAATACAGCAGAGTAATGAGATCCTTAAAACTATGAGAGACATGAGTGAATTTCTCGATAGCCAGTCAACAATAGTCGGTATAATGGCGGTGTTTAATGACTATCGTCTAGTTGAAAACAGTCTACTTCAGAATTTACTAATAGTCTTATTGGATGGTATTCAAACTTATGAAAATATTTTCGCCGTATTGAACACTGGTAGGCTCCCACACGCTTTAATTAGTTGGAGTAAATTAAAGCGAATATTAATCACGATAGATCAGGCGTTTGACAGGAACTTTGATTTTTCTATTAGACACAGTGAGAAGCACCTGTACTATAGCCTTCCATTGATAGCCTCGGCGATTGATCCAAAGACGTACGAAATATACATATCAATGAGAATACCACTTGTGCGAAAAGGGAAACCGAGGCGGTATAAAATGATTAAACCACAGTTCTTTCCGTTTTCTTGTCTATCAAATGATT